TATCACTATATATATATATATATATATATATATATATATAAAATAAAGTCTTAGCAGATATTTAGCAGACATACTACCAATACTCAATGACCGCTAGTTGACATGTAGTTGCAAAGTTACTTATCAACAGTTGTCTAAAGGGTACCATCAAAATAACCATACTGATATTACAATAAAATTAGCTCAATGCAAATGTGAACACATTCATCTGATCTGATATCTGATTTTATGGCTGTTTGAGAAACAAATATTATTTTTCTTATTATTTATAAGTGGTCTAACTCAAAGACCACTAACACAAAGACCACTTATAAATTATAAGACCACATTATAAAGCCTTTTGGATGTTTTCATGAAGACTTTGTATTTATCATTTTACAGTAAAAAAAATAATAAGATGTACTAAGTTATTGTGCAGATCTTAAGCAATGGTAAGTTATGAGACTTATAATACATAACTATGGGGAATATAATTAATTGTAACTTAAGTGGATGCAACATGTTCATTGTGTGTTATAAATCATCATACTCTTAAAAGCTATAACCACAAATAAGTAAGTATTATAATACATTAAAACTGTTCTTATGATTATTTATGAGATGATACAACATATTATAAGGTTTTTTATAATGCATTATTAATTCATTATAATGCCTTAAGAATACCCTTATAATTTATTATAAATACGGGCTTCATAGAAAGTGTTACTGTACATTTTTTAGAGATACTATTCAGAATTGAAAAATATTTCAGTGTATTTATGATTTTGTTCCACTTAGCCATCTTGAATTGAACTCAGTGCATTCTGGGATTGCCAACTGAACAAAATATATATGCAAGGCTGCCTTAGAATTTGGCCAATACTATGTTTTTAAAGTGCCCAGTGTTTCTCAACCCTTTTGATTTCAAACCTCCCCCTCTCAAAGACTATATTCAAAGGCCCCCAAGATATTTTTCTTATCTACTGTATTCCATCATGACAAAGCTGCTCATTTTCTTATTTACAGAAAAAAGTTGAAATTTATTAAAGTAATCACAAACAACTTCAGAAATACAGTGTAATCTTACAATAAAAAAAAAAATGTTTTAGCTTATTTTAAGGTTTTGTCATTGAAATCCTACCTATGTATGCTTTGAAACAGAGCACTACTTTTCTAGCCATTTTGTTTATATTAGTAGTTTTCTAACTGAATATTATGTGTCTTTGCCTTCTCTGATCTTTTTAAAATTCAGGATCATAAGGTGATGTTTTACCAGTTGGCCTTTCTAAACGCTTTTCATGCTTTACGTTCTTCAACTTTCTGGGTTTCTGTGCATGAAATTAGTTATTAGTATGTGCATGGGTCTGCAAGCTAATATGCATGAGGCTTTCTGTGTGAAAAAAGTATTTTTGTAAGGGGTGCTTGTAGTTATGGGTATTAAACAGCGTTTAAGCTCTATTGTGGTCAGAGTGGTGTGATCTGCTTTGTCATCAGACTGCAGATTATCAGTACATCAGTGACTTAAAGGCATAGTTTGCCCAAAAATAAAAAAAGTTCTGTCATCATTTACTCGCTCTTGTATCCTTTAAACACAAAAAGAGATATTATGAAGAATGTTTATGTTGCTCTTTTCAATGCAACAGCAGCATAAAGCTTTCCTCAAACAGAAAATCATTCAAGTTTTGGACAAAGTGTGATTAATTGATGACAGAATTATATATATTTTTGGAATACGACTGTAAGAGAGAGTCAAAAAGGAAGTGCTGGCACACTGCCCCTCAGGTGTGGTTTGTTTTCTTTTCCTCCTTCCTTCAATCAGAGATCTAGATGTGTATACAGCCCTTTCTGATCTCTGATTACAGCTGCTGTGCCACTGCATTTCCTTCTCAGGCACTTGCAGTGTGTGTGACGTATGGATAGTGTTGATTCTGGAACCGTGTGTCTTGATGGTCCGTTGTGTCTCTAGCACGGGAAGGTGGGTGCCCTGAAGGACCCTCTGCTGGATGACCTGGGAGACTTCAACAGGATGGTGGTGGCCATGAAGAAAATCGGCCTGGATGACACAGAGAAGCTCAATCTCTTCAGAGTGGTGTCTGGTGTCCTTCATCTCGGCAATATCGACTTTGAGGAGACAGGAAGCACCTCTGGTAGCCATTCATATAGCATCTGTAGAAAAATAGATTTAATGTCCTAACCCAGCATGATGCGACAAGTTTCAAGCATAAAGTAATTTTGTATCCTGCATAAAGTGACAAAATTACAACCAATCAGCACATATTTGATGCTTCATATGCAACCAGTGAGATTTCACTCTATATCTATTGCAATAAAGCAGAACTAGAAACCAAACAGCTGATAAAATGTCTTGTGTCGTTTGCAATTATGCTGGTTAGGACAAAAAAGAGATGGGGTTTATTGCTTGTTGCTTTGTCATGTCATGCTTGGTTTAGAAGTATTTGGTTTCTATCAGGTTAAGAGACTTCAAAATATGACCAATTTTGCTTTTATACAGAATTTGCACCATCTGCGTTCAGTCAGGGAAGAAATTTTCACTGATGTCTGAAGTGTTATTTTATTATTTTCCGAGCTCATGCTCATGTTCTCCTCATTAAACTCCCTCACACTCATACACACACACCACACCCACCCCTCCTCCAACTCAAAAGACCTCATTAGAGAGCTGCTGTGGGGGTAACAGGGCTCTTTCTAGTGTTGCCAGACATGCATCCAGGATTTGTTTTCCTCTTCGGTTGAAGGTACAACACCTTTTAACGCTCTGGCCTGCTCCATTTCTCTGCTCACAATGAGATACTTTTTTAGCTGTAAAAGACGGAACCTGATGTTATAGAGGTCTTACAGGAGACCTGAAGACTATTGTGTATGAGCACATGTTTTTGAAAAGGGCTGAGATATGATAGGAGAGAGCAGGAGTGTGCTTTTATAGATTTGTTTACACACTTATAGCTCTTAGACGACACTGATGAGTCAAAGGCACAACTTTTTCTTTTTTTTGTATCTATTTTAATCTATTAGGAACATGTTTTTAATATATTAATTAAAATTATTTTTGATTTTTTTGGGGGGTCATAAATTAAAAAATGATACAGTGATACAACTGTACTGATATGAAGAAAAAAGCCTCATTAAAAGAATGAAATTCCTGTAAAGGAAATATTTTTAAGTAGTTTGGCATAAACTTTTATTATGTGTAGAAGAATAATATTTTATTTAGGGGGGGAGGGAAACCATGAAAGTTTTATATTATTATAAATATTTTAAAAACCTGAAATCCATGTTATAGAGACCATATAAATAAAAAAATCAACAACATAGAGGATTTATATATATACACACACACACACAAACAAACCATTTTTCAAAATACTAATTTCTAAATTCTAAATGTACATTGAAACATTTATAAAGCTCTGCTGTCTAGACACAGCATAAGAAATGTGATGAGCCACAGTTTAAAGATGAGCATTAAAAATTTTCATCTGGTCTCAGGTGGCTGCATTTTGAAGAACCAGACCAGTCAGACTCTTGAATACTGTGCCGAACTCCTGGGCCTGGACCAGGACGACCTGAGAGTCAGCCTCACCACCAGGGTCATGCTCACCACTGCAGGGGGCGCCAAAGGCACAGTCATCAAGTGAGTGACCCCACATGTTTACCTTAATATCTGCTCAGCCACTGACCCTCCGGCAGCCTGATTTGTTTTGTCCAAATGAGGATCAAAAGACGACCAAAAAGTCACCACAGATCCCTGCTTGGTATTTTCCACACTCTCCTCACATCTCAATCTTCCCCGCGATGCAAAACGTCTTCTAGTATTTCATTTCACCCCATTCGCATTCACATAACTGTTAAATGAATTCTCCGGTCGCCCCCTCACAGATGAGAGGAGAGCTGAAAATAGCTATTCGCAGCTTTTCCATTAGAGATATGGTCAGTATAATCAAATGTGGCATAGACTAAATTGGCTGAGAGTCCGTAATAGTCTAGTTGCCATCCAAAGACTTCTGCATTTAAACGGACGTATTTCTTTTTATTGATTACGTAACCGAGAAGGCCTTTCACGAATAGGCTGAGGTACCAAGCAGCTTTTTCCACAAAGCTCCACTACTTTTTAAAGATAAGTCTCAGGTTTGAAATTTTGTGAAACAAAAGCCCAGGTCTTCTCAGCTTTCTCGATGCAAAACCCACAGTCCAATTACTGCACAAGCCAGTCAGTAGAGAAATGGGAAAAACTCGATTGCCTCGATCGAATCGTAATGCTCCGTTCTTTGTCACCCAGGTGGGGTTTTATATTCGGTGCCGTCTGAATGATAGGCCAGCGCTCGGTGGATTAATATTTAACCAAGCACAGATGCTAGACTGGGAGTGTTTGCACGGCATGAATAATGGATGTTTGTCTGAGGGAGTGGCCTGGGGTCTTTTAGGTATGATGAGAATCAAAGTCGCAAGAGGTTTCACTGCCCTCCTCATTTGACTGCGAACAGATGCACAACCACGTACATATGCAATATGTGTTTTATGGAAAATTATGGAGACTGTATTCAAACAAGGCTACACTGACCCTTGCGATTCACACTGCTAAACACCGGAGAGGGCAGCAGCTTGTGCCTGACAGAGCTTCATTTCAGAGGCGTATTGTGATTTTTAAATGCAGGTGACATTGAGAAGGAAGAGCGCAGCAGCCTCTCGACACACATGCTATGGAGGGAATACACTAATAGCATAAAAGCGAGTTAATGAAAAGCAATCTCGCAGACTCAAGATCGTAGAGATTATTGTGAGCCAGGTCCAGCTTTTATTAACTGTGCAGGCAATAAGAGTCACACAGCAGGTATTCCCACAGCGAAGAAGGTTTTATCATCCAGTTCTGGAGTTTCAGTTCGCTGGTCTCCGTATGCCTCCTGAGGATAGTGGGGAGCCATTGTGTCTTGTGATTATGAGCTGCTTTGCTTTAACAGGCGTGTGTTATAGAGATTTATTGTGTTTTCATGTAATATCGCTGCGCTGCTCCATTTCAAGCCCTTTAAGCTTCACCGGGATTTCAAGTGCTGTTTGTTCTGTGTGTATACATTTATCAAAGTTACCACTGCAAAATAAGTATGAACTGAACCTTTTCCCTGTACTGTTTTCAGTTGAATTATGCAATTAATCTGCAGGAGAACCATTAAGTTGTTTTTTTTATACACTTGATGAACAACAAAGCAGAAAAGGAGGATGTTGGCATGAAGGATGTTTTTGTGTTAAAAGTAGTCTAGGCCGTTTAGACCCAGTTATTTGCATGCCATAAACATATTTTCTTGCATAGTTTTAGGAATAGTGGTCTTTGGGGGACTCATGTAACTGTCAGTTTTGGAAGAAAAAAAAAACAAGAACTTTCTTTCAGCACTCTGCAGAGCAGAAAATTGTCCCAATTTCCCTTCGTCCCCATAAATACAAGCCCTCCCCCCCACCCCCCTAAAAAAATCTCTTGTACATCATTGCCAAACAGTTTCACTAATGTTTAAATTTTAGTCTGTAGCAGCTTTAATTCTATTCGTTTGTCTTCTGTCTAACTGTAGAAACCTCTATTGTTAGGTCAAATAAAGTTAGAGAAGATTTTTTCAGCAGCCTTGAGCATTTGCAATCATAATGGAATTGAGAGGAAAATAAATTACATTTTGACTCCAAATTATTTCTCGTTGGCGTTCTGCTTTCCCCTAAAGTGTTTTTTTTACACATTTAGCTTGGAGTGGTAAAACAGCAACTGTCTTAAGAGTGCAAAGTTGGACGAAGTAAAACAGAATGGACATGTATTGATGAGGCGGCATTAGCAAAAGCCCTGGCCCAGATTTTGACTCCTCCTTGTCCCACTTTGCTCCTCTCCAGGGTGCCTCTGAAGGTGGAACAGGCCAACAATGCCCGCGATGCCCTCGCCAAAGCCATTTACAGCCGGCTCTTTGATCATGTGGTCAAACGGGTCAACCAGTGCTTCCCCTTTGATACGTCCTCCAACTTCATCGGCGTGCTGGACATCGCCGGCTTTGGTAAGGCTGTGTGATATCTGCAGTGGACGGGTCACATTGCCTTAACACTGATTTCAGTGGTTCTTTAATGTTCAAACATATCAACTAGATTCATATGAGAAATGAGACAACCTAGTCTAATTTTAATTATTTCTTGTTTATTTAATGATTTAATGATTATTCGTCTTAATTACATATATTTTTTAATTTATGTGAATACAGAGCTCTTTCTGAGATATTTTGACTTGCGTGAAGTTCTTGAAAAAAATATTATTTAAGATGTCAAAATTATTTGTCAAAAATTATTGAAAATAATCAAGATAAAAAAAGACAGAAATGCACTTACAATTTCTAAATATAATAATAATAATAATATATCAAAAAGAGCTAAAAAAAAAAAACACTTTCGATTAAAGTCCATGAGGTAAGCATGCAATACAGTAGATGTCTATGGAGTAAGCATATTTCCATTACAAGTGCCTAACTGTAATTTTTTTGGGGTTTTTACAAACTGAAATTATTTACCATGGTAATTGACAGCAGCAGATGCTGTCTATTAATAGAGGTTTACTTGTATCTAACCTGGAATATTCCATTAATGCTAAACTTTAAAATAAACTTGGTATGGGATATGAGCAGTGTTGGGAGTAACGCATTACAAAAGTAATAATATTACAGTAGTATATTAC